CCTACGCCTAAGGACCCAGCGTATGTTACCCGTTTCACCTACTGATATTTTATTTTTTTTACATTTTGTAGGCTAACTCCGTGAAAATTTATTAAGAAGCTGGCATACCGTCAGCAGGTGGAGAACATGCCCTGATGATGGAGACAGCACACTTTCTAAATTTCAGCGTACGCCAGGCTTGATATTCTTTAGGCTTTATTGATTAGGCCGTGTACACGTTTGGTTTGAATAACTTGGCGATGTATTCACCAGTTTCAAGATCGCCGCTTAAACAGGACAGCATAATACAAAATCAACACAAACATCAATGCCTCAAGTGGGATTCGAACCTACGATCCTCCTCTTCGATCAGCCAAAACCACGCAACCACTCCGTTGGCACAAGCTATTTCTTTACTTTCCCCTGTCACTTCCTACGTTATTCTTTCCGCTGTTCATATTCCTTTCTTCCTTACTAAAGTCTCTGGATTGAAGCTCTAGCTATATTTTAAGTACTGCTGAATTCGCTGAACTCGGTACACTAATTTAATTACAATTTTGAAACAAATATTAGCTTAAGTATAAGTAATTTTTTAACAGAAAAACCATAAAATTTTGCGCTCAATACGTGTGTGTAAACAATCTCCCTCCTTGACTCCAGATGCCTCGTGAGGAGTAGAAAACGTCCTTAACAAACAAGTGCCTCCCTGTCAGAACGAAACGAAAACCTCAATCAAGTGAGCTTGTTGCGACAGAATTATGATTAGATTTGTTAACATGTCCCTCAGGGCTACACAGTGAGAGTTATTGATCACTCGTAGCGCCTGGGATGTAGTCCGCACGACACACAATGACCGGTCCCACGATACAAAGCGCTGGAATCAGTCAGCTGATAAAAATTCCCACCACAATGCAGCACTACACAATTAGATCCGGGTTATATTCTCAGTCCGTACCGAAAAGAAAACACCGCACTTCACTATTAAAGAGATCAGCTGGTTAATGATTTTTGCAACGAAATTAATATGAACATACTTAAGAGTTATTGTTTATTGTAGCAGGTGGGGCATATAGACACCACTGGGCTTTAAAGGTTTAATGATAGGTTCGAAAGATAATTAAGTTTGTAGTTATGCAAGACAGAAGTTGAAGTCAATTTGGAACAAATATATTTTTCGACAGGGCACTTTACAATGTCGCGTACCTACTTCATTTACTGAAGATACACATCCTTAGATATTCAGCTAATCACAGAATATATCAAATAAAAGTTTATGTCTTAATTAAATGCTGTTTTCGAATTCTGTTTAACCTAAAATGCCCTGACTTATTATTTACGTCTAGTAGTAAACTTCAGTACCGTTCTTTTTACAGAGTCCATTTTTGATATCACGCGTTTTACATTTGAATGTTTAAGTCTTCAGAGCTCTGCAATATTTCTGAACTTGTCTACATCTCCGGCATTCGTGTTCATGAATTTATACGTCAATTTACGTCCGTCATTCTGAAACGTGTAAAAGTAACACACTTTAAATTCCTAGCTCTCTTTCGCATCTGATAATCTTAGAAACGTACTCGTTGTTCGTGCATACTTTGCATATTTATTTATTTCATCGCAATTATCTCACTGTAGATAACTATATTAACAACCACTTTAATGTTACAGGAATCTTACTTTGAGTTTTAATTTAATGACGTAGCATATGTATTACTTAATTTTTGTGAAGGCTGTTTTTTTTAAAACACAAATGGACCTCTTTTAGGTTAGGTTAATTATAACATCGGTTTTGTGAAAATTACTACTACATCATTACCTGCTAACATGTGTATGTGGCATTTAAATAGTTAATTATGTTATTTCCTTTTTTCCAAAACTCAATTGAAAGTAATTATAAATTATATTAAATTAATTAAGAATATAGCATGCTAATGTATTTTCGCTATTAAAATTTCATGCAAAATCATGAACACGATGTTCAGTGATTAATTAATTGATATTCCTACCACTCAGTGACATGATACATAGTTGTAGCGTGTAATGCAGCTGATGACGGTTTCAGAATAAAACCAAAACTCGTTACGCTAATTAACAGTATTCAGTCTGGCAGCAGATGAGGCTAACTGCATAAGGAATGAAACTCTATGGAATTACATAGGTAGAGATCGGCTGAATGACAGACCAACTAAACGTAGTCTACCGTTAAGAGGGGTGAAAATTTAAAATCGCTTTTATAAAAGAAAGAAATATGGGGGAAAATAAAATAGAAGGGAAATACATGAGACAAAGAATAAAGGGTATAGAGATGCAGAAAAAGTTATAGGGGAACCACGGTTCCGGAGAATTTGACGTAAATACGTCTCTGTATTTAAATTATATTTACGTCTCTGTAAAGTAATGTAATATAATGTTATCTGCAATGTCATCCATCTTGTTACGAAAGCGGATTGTTGACGGCAGTAATGTAACATGACGTTTCCTAGGTAACATAACAATGCACGCAAGCTGAGCATTGTTATCGGTCCATATTTACACATTGTTGTCGATTTATTGATAGGGATCTTACACATTTTGACGTAAATACGTCTATAAGGAAGGGTCATTCGGCAAAAAAGTGTTACGAAAAAGGGAAACGAAAAAGTGTAACTGCATTGTTATGTTACCTAGGAAACGTCATATGTTTACTCGGCATTGTTGTGTTACATTACTGCTGTCAACAATCCGCTTTCGTTATTGCGGAAAGAGCTGAGATTTTAACATTAATTTAAAGGAGGAAAATCAAAGCTTTGTCACATTTATGGAGGAAACGTTTGGCTTAATGTTGATGTCAAATCCTAGATCAAAATCTTGTATAGATATGTTGATACTCTAAAATGTACAAATTTTATAACATATTTCAGCTACCACAGACCCATCTTAAGCGTAACTAATTCAGGTTAAATAAGCAATGTCTTAATCAAACTTTATTCAATTGTAAAGCATGTATAAAGGAAATATTTGGAATAAAGCCAATATATAAACTTCCTTTCCGTATAGACGTATTTACGTTAAATAAAATTGTTGAATTATAATCATTCATAAAACTTTCCATTCTTGCTCGTTCATAGAACGATTCAATTCAGATTTACTTAACGTTATAAACAGTGACACATACGTAGCAATCAGTCTTAAAAGTTTCCCTTGAGCCCAGGAATGCTAAATGAAAATCAAACACAATTTGCATGCCACATATTCACATATTGATTCTGTTACTGACCTGTAGATGGGAGTGCCCAGGTCTTCGCGATACCAAAGCACCAGAAGAACGGCGTCCCCTTCGCCCGTCGTAATATCACACGGCAGATACACGGCGTCGCCAACTACGGCAGTCACGTGGAACAGTGGGACTGGAACAGAAATCACGTCACGTGACGTCAGAACGAAAACACGATCCAGCTCTTCAGCAAACATTTTAAGTGTGCGTACACAAGAACTTCACTTCAATACGTCACTGCCTTAAAAATAAATGATAACTCACTTTCAAATTACATTCACCATACGAACATTCAGCAACCATAAACAGAACTCATACCACAACATTCTTTTTTCTTTAATTACCGACATTATTTTTCAACTTAGATTTAGATTGTGCAATTAGGAAGAAAGTGGGATTGGAAACAAAAGACGATAAATTAATCAAAGTCAAGCAACAAGCTTCACTAAGCAAACTCATAAACAACCAAGCCACCTGCATAACTCCGTGACACATAATGTTCATTCAAAGGTTATAAATTAACCCGGTACGTCAAAGATGTTATCTACTGCCTTACAACTCAAAGGTTCATTACCATATTTGCAAAGAATCGCTGTGCTCCGTTTTAAATTGCACTGAGTCCGACCTACCTCGAGAAACAATTTCCTTGCGCCGTTGTAGATGGGAGTGCCCAGGTCTTCGCGATACCAAAGCACCAGAAGAACGGCGTCCCCTTCGCCCGTCGTAATATCACACGGCAGATACACGGCGTCGCCAACTACGGCAGTCACGTGGAACAGTGGGACTGGAACAAAAACACAATCCAGCTCTTCAGCAAACATTTTAAGTGTGCGTACACAAGAACTTCACTTCAATACGTCACTGCCTTAAAAATAAATGATAACTCACTTTCAAATTACATTCACCATACGAACATTCAGTAACCATAAACAGAACTCATACCACAACATTCTTTTTTCTTTAATTACCGACATTATTTTTCAACTTAGATTTAGATTGTGCAATTAGGAAGAAAGTGGGATTGGAAACAAAAGACGATAAATTAATCAAAGTCAAGCAACAAGCTTCACTAAGCAAACTCATAAACAACCAAGCCACCTGCATAACTCCGTGACACATAATGTTCATTCAAAGGTTATAAATTAACCCGGTACGTCAAAGATGTTATCTACTGCCATACAACTCAAAGGTTCATTACCATATTTGCAAAGAATCGCTGTGCTCCGTTTTAAATTGCACTGAGTCCGACCTACCTCGAGAAACAATTTCTTTGCTCCGTATGCTAATATTACGCTCCGATGTAGTCGTATGGGGGTTAAATTAAACTAATTTCTGTTGTCATGGACTGCCAACTATCAGTTGTTTCTAATTGACAGACACATATATTTTCTGTGCAACCCAAAGAAGGGAAATTATATTTTCTATGGTGGAATGCAGTTTCCGCAATGGTTGTGTTGTGTACAGTACAAGCCGGTACGTGAGGTATTGATTTGCAGTGTAGAGATATGGGTCCTACATAGCCAAGAGAATGAAGCAGTGAGGGGGGGGGGGGGTGATGTAATCTCGAGATGTAAGGGTGAGATTGAGGCGTTGAAAGTTTATCTGTCTTCGTTACCCAAAGACAAAGACGTACAAGGTGTTCGTCACTAAACCCAAATAGCTATCCAAATTAAATTACCAATGTTTCGCTAAACTAGAGATTAATTATTTACAGTTACAATCGCTCTCAGTTTTGAACATGTTTCATAATAAAGTAGCAAGCATTCATTTATTTATTTAATTATTTCTAGTTATTTACATTCTCGCCCGCTCATATACAGCGTATTAATCTCTTAATCGCTCTCAGTTTTGAACATGTTTCACAATAAAGTAGCAAGCATTTATTTATTTATTTCTCTTATAATTATTTACATTCTCGTCCGCTCATATACAGCGTATTAATCTCTCTTATTCATAATCACATATTCTTCCTTCCCTCCAACAACCACTTCACCCTTCCAACTTCCGAAATTGTCACTGTTTCCCGTTTATCTAACCTCCGCTTCTAATCCGTCTTCTTTTCATCTCTCCCTGTTCTCCTGATACCCAACTTCTACTGATATATCCACTCCTCTGCCCATTTCCCCTTCTGCTTGCACATCAAATTATTGATAATTATCTGCTTTTATGGAACCAGTAGTTTCATCGTCGTATTCACAAAAAAATCTGCGGTTTATACAAAGGCCTACCGAACACTACGTCTACATGCGTTATCCTACACAGAGCGACTGAAGTCAACTTGGTAATCCACATCAATATAGGACGAGTTTCAAGCGTATTAGAGACTATCTCCCGAAGTCTTCATTATAGATGCAGTAATTCCTGAATGTCTCCATGTCGTCTGCTTGCACATCAAATTATTGCTAATTATCTGCTTTTATGGAACCAGTAGTTTCATCGTCGTATTCACAAAAAAATCTGCGGTTTATACAAAGGCCTACCGAACACTACGTCTACATGCGTTATCCTTTGTATCGTTTATTCTAGACTGACATCAACAGTACGCATACTTTAGAATCAGATTTTTGTAAAAATCATCAGGAAATCATTTATAAAGTACAGTTAGAATAACTGAATATCGTGCTGGAGGATTCCATCTTTATGCTGTGGGCAATCATTGAGTCGGTTGCCGCCTTTCAGAGTTTAAGCGGCACAGCAGCCAAATATCCTTAATGCTTATAAAGTTGTAAAAATCAGAGTAAGACACATTTTAATTAGTTACACATGGCGTTATAACTAGATAATAAAAAAAAATATATACTTATCCGGTAAATTTTGCTTTCATAGAACCTCAAAGTTCCTTATCGCTCTCAAAATTTCCAGCCACTGGGTCCTATCTAGCAAGTGGTAACGCAACCATGCATACTCTATTTCTCTGAAATTCAGTTGAATTGTATTAAAATCGTTACCTTGTGACGGTGTTTTTGATTTCTTACTATAAACTCATAATAAATTAGGAAGTACATATTTTGAAAACAGCGTTATTAAACACCCTGTAAGGAGGGAATAAACGAAGCGAGGCACGGGTCTCGTGATTGGTTTCTTACAGGGATTGATTTTCTTTTTCTGATTGCTACTTCTGTTCCTACATTTTCTTCTACAGCAGACGTAATGTTGTGGAAGCATTGACAGATGGTGACCTGATAGAATCGATCTATCACTGTTGTCCTGATGGTAGGAATGCTACTTTTATGGACTATAACCTAAATGTTAGTAGATGCTACATGAGTGTACTGAAGAAACAAGTAGCGAATCTTCTTGATTTCACTTTTACTGTTTCTTTACGATCGCCATACGATCCGACATTTTACGTGAAAAGAGTAGGAATTGTAGCGAAACGAACAAGATAAAAATAATAAGACAACAGAAAATATATAATATACTTTGAAGACGTCATTAGATATACAACAAATATTTTAACCCATAACAAATATTTTAACCAATATCCATAATCTGCATTACTGGCAGCGTTAATATATTTATTGTTTTATTATTATTATTTAGTGTTCTGACTGACGACAGGTCCATATGAACAGGATCCTTCCATCCTTTTCTCGGACTGGGACCTGTTCATATAAGTTCTTGGCAGATGATCCAGAAGTGGTTTGTCATTGCCTTCTTCTGTGTGTGTGAATGGAGTAATTGTTGGGATGCCACGGAGGAAAACTCCGTGTTGCCTAGACCACAGCCTTGCCCAACACAAGTTATAAATTCGGGCACCGCCGGGAATCGAACCCAAGACCCCAGGATTACAAGGCCAGCGTTCTAATCGCTAGACCACCGTGGCATGTTAATATATTACACACAATAAAAATAAAATATTTTGAAACATTTATCTATAATAAGTGTACTTAACGAAATAATTTATTAATTATTCGTACCTATCTAAAAGACAAGTGGCCCTTTGTATAACAATACCACTGGAGTTATTTGGTCATTAAAGTCTGAGAGCCCCTTTACAGTCTCGCGTACCTAGTAAGGTACACGGTCCACTAGGGTAAACACACTGCTGCTTCTATGGTTATGCTGTGCAGTGAATTGCTATGTTCCTAATCTACATGCAGCTGACAGCCCAATGAAAGCATTTAACAATGTCCGTAATATGATGCATTCGTAACGAACAATACTGTCAGTACTGATATCTATCTGTATCCGTTAAGCTGATTAAAAAGACGGGAGATGTGGAACTGTCTGTTTGGAAGTCAGGACAAATGAGTAGCTACTTCGTTTCTCGGAATTGGTACGTGATCATTAATATCGTATTTTAGGGTTTATAATGTCGAATGACAGAACGATCGTTATCAATATGAAATATCGTCTATGGAATGGATCGTGGCCTACTCTAAATTGACATAACATCATTTACTGGACGAACACTGGGAAACCACGAAATATGGATCGGAATAGCCAGTCTACGGGAGGATATTCGAGATCGGGAGAATCTAAACATGAATCAACAGTAGTAATTACAATTTTGTACGATGGCTTTCGATTCTCGGTCAAGGGTAGATTAGATGCAGCCAATAAGCCAGATATATGGATAAAAGAAGGGGTCGGTAGGTAAGTAGGAAGTTACATAAACAGATAGATATGTACACAGATTGGCAGACAGACAAGCTAGTAATCAGAGAAGCAAACTGACAGACAATGACGGATGGATTGGTGGGCCCGAAAAACAGCCAGCCTTGTGGGATATCACAATTTCTGGCCAAGTTCGCCCTGTTATCGTACAATGCTGTGTATGGACGTGGCTTACCGACCCAGAGACATTGCAGAAAACCGCGAGACACGCCAACAAACACTTGGCTCCGGTCACACACGTGCTCTGCTCAGGGATGTTAGCTTTTCTCCACATTTCGTCTAGAAAGCTACATAAACATGCCGCTGGGTTATGACGGCTAGGAAATTTAAAAACCTCCCCAGACTCACTGACAACTTCACTTTCGTGCAATGCATCCGTGTTTTACAAACGTGGCTCTCGTAACCCAACCATCGGTACACAATCATTTTCCTCGAATAGAAAAAATACCTACCTACTTTACAAAGAACAAAGTCTGTTTATTTACTACTTGGAAGTGATGTGCTATCTATCTAAATGGTAAATGCAGTGAAGATATTTGGCGGCTGTGCCGTTCGAACTAAGAAACACGGCAACCGATGCAGTGGTCTCGCATAGCGAAAAGGCAGTGCCGTGCCACGTACTGGTAGAAACATGTGGGGTTGAAAGCGAAGTAATTATGACTCTTAATTAAAATCGGGCATATTCCTCCAAAATCTATTGCTAAATCGTATATAAAGCATTACTCTCCCCACTGTGCAGGTATATGCTTGAAATGCACATAGTGGCTAAGCTGACCGAGATATTAATTAAGATTAAGAAGCCCTTAGTTTTGTTTCTTATGGACAATTAAAAATACCACGGAATACGTAAAAAATACAGTTTATTTTCAAAATATAATAGGGCTGTGAGAGTTAACCAATAAACGATGCAATAAACTTACTGCGTGTTGATGATCGCCAACCAC